TTTTTTGGTGGGGAGGGGGGATCTGGCTGGCAAGACCCCCATGCACTGGACAGGACTCTGGGAGACCAGGCAGGGCCCCGGGGAGGTGTGGTGGGCCCCGAGGCCCCTGGGGACTGCCCACAGCCTCGCAGCGCGGCAGCTGAGCTGTACCAGGGTTTTTGGGTGGCTGGGTGTGGGCTGGAGCTACAAGCGAGGACCTCACAGAGAGCAGCGACCAGGAACAACAGCTGCTGGTGTATATTGGCATGGGCGGGCCTGGGGCCTGCTGGGCCCTGCTGTGACTCCCCCCCAGCTGCCCGGTGGTGCCCTTAGTGCTGTTATTTGGTGAGGGAGGGAAGATTTTTCACCCCAGTGTTGCTGTAGGTTTATCTCTCAGTTTGTGGGCAGCGCTTGGTGGTACAGCAAGCACCAGTCTTGGGCATCCAGGTATTCAAATACAACCTAGAGCTTTTCAGTGTAACTAGGTAAATGCAGTGGTGGTTCAGGAAGCTTAAATATGTGTACTGTGCACAAACATTGAGTTTCTAACACCTGAGGGAAGCTCTCAGCCTTTACTGTTCCTGTCTTTCACCAAAGCAGCTCTTGATTCTTCAAGAGCCCCAGTATATTTTGCAGCTTTGCTTTTGTTTTCTTTCAGAGATTGAATTCACTTCAGGAACTTCAGCTCCTTGAGATCATGTGCAATTATTTCCAAGAGCAAACCAAGGATTCAGTCCGGCAGATCATTTTCTCATCTCTCTTCAGCCCTCAAGGAAACAAAGCAGATGACAGCAGGATGGCTTTACTAGGAAAGCTGGTTTCCATGGCAGTGGCTGTGTGCAGGGTTCCTGTTCTGGAGTGTGCTGCCTTCTGGCTGCAGGTACAGCTTCTGTGCAGGCAGGGCGGTCTCGGGGAAGGAGCGAGGGAGTGTGCCGCAATGGGTAGCGGGTGAACTGAGGCGGAGTGTCGCCAAACGGTCAGTGACAGCTGGTTGCGGTCAGCTGCTCATCTGTGGCAGTGCCGGCTGACGCAACAGCTGGCTGCTGGAGCTACGTTCACCCCACGTCTGTGCTCGTGTCCATTCCTTTGCTCCAGCATAAAGGTAGAGCTTTTGCCGATCCATTTATGTGCTGCACTGGCAGAAGAAAATTTGGTGGGTTTTTTTACCGTGGGTGAAAGTTTCATTGTTTTGTGGTGTTGGGTTTTTTTTTTAAAGTTTTATTTTATTTGATTTTTTTTCCACCCGAGCCCAGCATGTCGAAAGGGATTAGTGGGGGGTTTGACCAACACAGGGAACAAAACCAGGGCAGTTCATGGTCTCATTGCCCAAAGAAGCCAACTCTGGAGCTTGGGAAATAAACTGTCCCTCGTGTGCAAGTTTGGGCATGGCAGAAGAGGCAAACCTCTCTCGAGATGAGGGCACAAAATACCTGTGTCTGGTATTCATATCCGTGAATGCAGTATGTCAGGGATCTCCTATACCTCCTCCTTTCCCATTGAGATTCCCTACTGTAGACCTTGGGAAGTGCATCTTTGTTCCCGCTGCATTTGCGGGATGTGCAGAACTCGCCTGCTTTACAGAAGGGGAAGAGCAGAGGGGCTGTGCTGGGAGGGAAGGGTGGTAGGAGGC